TTCTCCTTGCCTATTTCTACACATTCTTTAAAGAACAGTTCAAACTCTCTTTTTCTGTGAAGCTGCCCAAGCCATCCCAGAATACTCCCCTCATCCGCACCCCATGACCTCCCCTCACTGAACATCTGTATCTCTTACTTTTAGACAAAGGCTGTAAGGAAAATGAAATAATAAATTTAAATCACTTATAACAATGCCTGACACATAGTAATTGCTATTAAAGTGTTGATGAATAAGTACAAGATAATAAATATATTTATAAATAAAAATGACTTGTGGGGTACTAAAAATTCCTGATGGGGTGATATCTTATTTTTCTATAACCAAGCCTGCTATAATCTCTCAGTTGTTGGTGCCTTTATTCTTTTATTTTAACCATTCATGTAGACCTCCTCTGTGCCAGGCCCTGTGCTATGAGCTGGGTTTGTGGATATGGTCACATGGAGTACTTGTTTTCAAGGAGCTTCTAAGATGGTTGGTGGAAGAGGTAGCACATACAGAAGCACTTAAAAATCACAGCACAAAGTCTCACACTCAGGGCCAACTCCAGAACACTTGCTGACTAAGGAAAGATGTAAAAGAATCATATCAAGACCAAAATGATCAGGTCAACATCATTAATAAACTTTTCCCTAAATTCTACTTTTATTATTATTATTATTTTTTTTTTGAATTTTCAAGAGGATATGAGCTTGTGGGTAAACACCATCATACCTAAGTTATATGAAGCACCAGTAGAAAGGCAGGAACTCAGCAGATGTCTCTCAAAATGCCAGCTTCCTTCCACACCTGCTGTTTGTGCTAAAAGTCCACAATGCAGGAAGGAGTTGGAGGGTTCAAAACTGGCATGTATGGTAAGAAAGGGTGGGCCCATTTTATTGTTTTAAAAGAACATAAAGAAATGACTTCTTGAGGCCCCAGTGAATTATGAGAAAGCAGGTCTTTTCTAATCTAAAACACTTGGAACTTATGCCTCTCAACTTTTCTTCTGTTCCTGTGGCTCTCAGCTCCGGCTGCTCACTGGCATCAACCAGGCTGGACCCAAGACCAATTAAATAAAAATCTCTGAGGTTATCAGTAGTTTTTTAAACTGCCCAGGTAGATCAGCTGGGCTCTCCATGAAGCAGATGCTAAATTGGAGTTTAGTGCACAAGCAGTTTACCAGGGGTTAAAGCCTGTGAAAGATAAAAAGGGAAGAAAGCAGAACTGGGTAAAGAATGCCTCTAGACTGCAATGCACATCTGATACCCATGAAAGGAAAGCAGAGAAGCAGCAGGACTGGTCAGAAGAGCCTGAGCCTGCAATGCAAATCTGAAAAACTGCCTTTCAACCAACATGGAGGGAGCTCTGGGGCAAAGCCTGCCTGGTAGAGGAGAACCCTGCTTAGGCAGAAATAGCCAGATCCTGGTAGCCCTGCCATGCTCAGTCATTGGCGGGGGGCTGCCCAGGAAACACAGAGGCCCATCCTGAAGGCACTGCAGCTGAAGGCTGTGGGCTAACTGCACTCCTTGCAAATGAACTGCAAGTTCTTTCTTGTGAGATCCAAGCAGTGCACCGCCTTAGGATCTCAGTGTGCGGCCAGCGTTGAGAACCACTGCTCTACCTTCCAAACAGACTCTGATGCCTGGGGAAACTATGTTTAATGAGAAAGCGTCTCATCCGAGACACCTGCCGTCCTACAGGAAGGTACAGCAAGAGTACCAAATAGAAGAGGAAAGCCATCCTTTCCTTCAGAAGGTGTGTGTGCTAGTCACAGCACCAAACACTAACTGCCCACGAGGCAGCTCTATATCAGTTCACCTGAGCATCAGTTCCTCAACTATCAAATGGGCTAATGATACCATTCTCTCCTCATAAGGTTGTTAGAAGGATTAAATGAAACACTGCATATGAAAGCATCCTATGAACTGTACAGGAAGAAAGTAAGAGCAAACAGAGCACTTGCTTTATGCCAGGCAGTTTTTGTATATTAATTCATGCTACATATACATATAAGCAGCATTGGCTGTAGTGATAGTGTTGTAGACATTGCTGGGATTGGCTTAGGGATGCAGACATGTTCCAGAAGTCATTTTACTATGCAGTGTATTGGTATCTCTGCCCTTCCATAGGAACCAAATGATGATCTGGAACAAGCTACTCTGTTACCCCCAAGCTACTCTGTTAACTGGAACAAGTCACCCTGTTACCCCCAAGCCCTGACACTACAGGAGTCAGCCATCAGTGGAGGCATCCATGTGGTGGTCAAGAGCACAGGCTCTGGAGCCAGAACCTTGGTTTGGTTCTTCTCCTAGCTGTGTGACTTTGAACAATTTCTTAACCTCTCTGTGCTTCAAATGCTTCATAACTGAAGAGCAACTAAGGGTACTACCCATAAGGACACACAAAATGATACACATAAAGTATATCAGTGAAGTTCTGGCACACAGCAAGTGCTCAATAGATGTTAAATGATTATAATTATCCCCACAAGTGAAACAGAAAAGTAAATACTCATTGTAATTTTCTTCCCCTAACATAGAAGCTACATGCAGTAGAAAAGATCTGAGCTTTATGTGTGTGTGTTTCACTCTTTAGGAGTGTATGGACGTGTGTGTGTGTGTGTGTGTGTGTGTGTGTGTGTGTGTGTGTAGTGAAATACCTGGAAGGATTCAAGTCAAACTGTCAACAATGCTTACTTAGGGGAGGACAGTGGGTTGGAGGAAGATAGATAAAGGAAACTTTTGTGTTTTATTTATAGTCGGTATTATTTTATATTTTTATAATAAATTATTCATATATTAATTGCTTCAAATAGAAAAACATTAAAAAGTTTATGGACTTTAATGTAGAAATAATCATCCTTATACTCCCAGAACATGTCCCTAGCCTGGTTCTTGTTGTCTTTCCTGCTTCTGTCTGGGTTGGAGAGTCTAGTGCTGTGTGGAGAACCCAGTGGTAAGCAGAACCATGGTGGCTCAAGTTCACTGACTGGCTTCAGGCTCCCTCCACCAGCCACAAAAGTCCACTTCCTCTCTCTGCAGAGACACTCCCAGTTAAACCCATGGTTCAAGTACAATCATATGCCCTCCAAGCTTTGGTATCAATCCTTACTGACACTATGTGCCAGATACTGCGCTGGCTGCTGGATCCTGGAGGACCCGCTGCCTGTGTAACATGCAGAGGGAAGCACAGGGGCAGTCGAAGCAGAGAAACAGCACATAACCCAGGCATTCTGGGATGCTTCCAGGCTTCTTATGTATCCTCCCAAAGTGAACGGGTGAACCAGAACTAGGTGATCCCCAAGGCCTCTTTCTGCTCTGAAAAGCCACAAAACCCTGCCTATTGCCATTTATCTAACCTAAGCCATTTCTGAATATCTTCGCCTTTGGTTCTACAATGAAAATACAAGTGTTGTCAGAACTCTGCCCAGCTATACCTAAAATATAAAAGTTTGAACCTAAATCAGGAGGATTTTTAGATAGAAAGCAAACTGTCACATTTTGCTCACAGTGAGGCTGGCTGCTTTGCAGCCTGGGAGTGTGGGAGCAAAGTTACTTTCAAGCTTCTCTTGTCAAAAGAGGCTTTAACTCATTCACTAAGTCGACTCTAGTCTCATGGGGGGTCTTTTTCAAGCTGGGAAGAAAAAGATTAGGCAGGATAAACTAACTGGTGTTCTTTTCTAAGAGGGCTCTATCCCATTGTGCTAGAAGCAGACAGAGGAAATGGGGAGAAGAGAAGACAAGCTTCTGAGAGGAGGCCTGCCATCCTAGGAGGTGCTTAATAATTACTTGTTGATTTATCCTCAAGTACGTTACTCTCCTTCCCCATAGGGGGAAATAGAAATCAGTGATTTAACAAGCTGGAAAAATTCAAAGTAGAAGTCACTAGAAAATTACTAAAGTCCTCATTAAATCAAAGGAAAATTACATTTAGTGTTTTTCCAGTTGCAAGGACCGATTGCTGCTAATCTTGATTTCACATTAATTTAAGAGCTTAAAAAA